ATATAGTAGACTTAAAATTAAAGAGTAAAGTCTACCATATCAACTACAAATATAATTCAATTTAACTGATCTATTTTAATGATATATCTCAATATATTTTTATTTCATTTTTCTATTCTTCTTTATGAAATTATGTCTCTCTCTCTCTCTCTTTTTTTCATTCATTCATAATTATTATAGTAATCTCTGTGCCAGGCGATTGAATTCAATTTTGATGTAGATATGTAGGAGAAAAATATAAAAATTTAATGTCTCTCTATAAACGACTTTAATATGAGAAACAATTTTTTTTTTCTTCTTTTATTTTATTTGCACATTGTAAATAATATCTATCTTACATTAGTTGTAGTGAAGGATGAGAGAGAGAGAGAGAGAGAGAGAGAAGACATTTTCCTAAATTCAATGATTTACATTTTTCTTCTTCACATAGTCTATTTTTCTACTATCTCTTCTTTCTTTCTCTCTCTTTTTCTTCCAGGATAATATTTTTATCAATATATAACTATAGTTTATTATTTTTTTTTCTCTAGTTCTATTTTAAAAAGAGAGTAAAATATGACAATCTTAAATATATATAGAGTTATCGGTTTATTTTATGCTTCAAAAAATTTAAAGTCAAATAAACAAAACTTATTAAATATTTTTTCTTCTATCTTAAATGTTCAATATATCATATCTTAAAATTTTCTTAAGCAAATATAATTTATTCATTAATTAAGTATATTATTTTTATTGACATCAATTAACGAATCAAACAATTTAGTATATATTATTGTATCCACAATAAATATCAATTTCAAAAATAATAATGCAAATCATTTATCTGTTCAACATGATGTAAGTTTTTCTAATGATTTTAACTTTAAGAATGATGCATGATTCTCTTCTTGATGATAAAAAAAAAAAATGAATTATATGAACAAATACAGAGTTCATATTCATATTGACCATTTCAAATATAGTTTAAAACATTATTTTTATCATATTTGATTTTTGAATTCTTGATAATTTTGTTTACTTACATTTTTACATAATTATTCTTTTTATTCATTTATCCATGTCCATGACGTATGGTTGTTTCTCACGCTAAAAATAATAGATGACATTATATGAAGTTTAATATCTGTTGTTTTCATATTGCGTGATGTCACATTATAAAGATCGTGACCACATTTTCTAATAGTGAATGCACTTTTGATATTCATAATATATATATATCATTTTTTCTAACTTAAATTGTTAAATATAATTGAAAATAAACAATTTTTGTGCATTTTTTTCGTAAAATATTAAACTATTGTGCTTAGTCTCTTGAAATAGTTTGAAAAGATTTTTTTTTGACACTTTTAATCGATAATACGATGGACTCAGATAAGATGAACGTAATCTTTTCAGATTATAAACAAAAAAATCTCATCTTAATTACATTCATTTTACCATTTTTCCACAAGGAAAAAAAAAGAACATTTTTTTGCTTTTTAACTTTAAAATAGAAAAATCCAAAATGGTTCTATTTTTATCTTATTTTAACGGTAAGACATATATTGTCACGCTATCAAAAAGAAAAATCATAGTAATGGTGTAGAGGAGGAGAATTTATTTTATTTCTAGATATCTTTTAACCGTCATAAAAATCGTTATTATAGTCGATAAAAAATATATTATCGTTTTAAATTTTTTTTTTAACTTTATCATAATCAATAGAGATGTGACAAACATGTATACAAAAGTTATACAGATCTCATATTTATTGTTATCTCACTGATATATAAAATGATTTCTAAAAGATTCAAGAAAAATGATGAATTTTATATTCTTGTTCGATACTGTTTTGTTATTCTCTATCTATGTTGAGTAAATTTTATTTGAAGTACCTAGGCAAACGATGTTTTCTAGTGTTGTTTAAGTACACTTATGTTTTTGATAATTTCAATGTATTCGTTTTTTTCCCTGAATTATATGCTGTCTTTGAATTAGAACACATTTGTATCAAAAATGACATAAATAAAAGGAAAGAAGGAGAGAGATAGAGAGTGATCTATATAAGAAAAAGGAAGAGAAGAAAGGTTTTTTACTTTCTAAGTGTTATTAAATGAACAATAAAGAATACTCTGTGTTTCTAGTCAAATGATCTTCAACATGTTGTAAAAGAAACATTTTTTCTAGTAGATAAACAAATAAAACGGAACTTTATGTATGTAAACATGGTTGAAAGTACCAATTTGTATAATAAATGACATATGTTTGATTATAGAAAAATTAATTTTGAGAAAAAAAGTCAAAGTTAAGAAAAATGTAATTAATAACTGTAAAAATTATTATGAAAAATCATTAACAACTCTAGAACTATTTGTTACTGTTGCTCTTTTATAGGTTAAAAATTCATTCAACGTTTTCAAATACATTCATTCAACATCGCTGTTATTTACTTGATTGACGTCATGATTTCGAATAGTAAAATCTAAAATATTTTTGCATTTTTCTGTCGATTTCAGTAATTAAGTGGGAGTTTAATTTGTGATACGTGTGAAATGATTTTTTTTAGTTTTTAAGACAGAAAATTTATTCTTATTAGTTCCATCTTATGTCATAATTGATTATGCATTAGACAACATACCATATGTCTCAAAGGAAATAAATAGTCCACACACGAAGAGCTGATTAATTTTGTACTCTTAACTTTAAATAGTATACACCATTTATCAATCATAATATTTCTGGTTTAAATGGAAACGAAAACTTTCGATAACAACAACAACAAAAAAAAAAGGATATGTTTTACATGCCGACCTAATAGTGAATTTGTGTGGTTAGTTAGACACATAATTCATTTTCTTGTCAGCCAAAAAAAGAAAATTGTTGTTTGAAAATTTTGTTTTTATTCTCTCGTTTCAGCGGATCTTTCGGAAATGTTGTTAACTCACACTGATTGATTTCTTATTATAAACTGATATTTGTCGTTTATTAACCCATGAATGGAAATAAAGAAATTATTCTTATACATTTTTGATCCTTACTATATACGTAGTCATCATACTTAAAAATAAAAATGTGCAAAATATTTTCATTTAAAACATATCCGTTTACTTATTCTGCTATTTGCCAAATAACTGTAATCATTGAGATTTAATTGGATTAAATTATTCTAAAAATAGTTTATCATTCATAAAAGAAAACTGAATATATCTGATTCTTTAAGAATAAATCTAAATAATTCGTTGATCTATAACTTCAAACATCAAGAGTAATCTTGATATTAGTCTCATTATCAATACGAAATACTTTATGTAGAGTAAATTAATGTATGTAGACTAAAAACAAACAAAAAAACATAAATAATTCAATATCTAATGATTCCTATTTCATTTTTTTTTCTAAACTTATTCCATAAGTGTTTTTTCTTTTATAATATATTCTTTTTTACTATGCGTAATTTTTTTTCGCTTTAATACTCAAAATTTAGAATCGTCTATATAAATCAATACCCGAATCAAATCAGTCGATGTTTTTTTTTATTGAGTTTTTTTAAAAATCAACTATGATCGTATAACGATGATACTTCATTCACTGTTAAACACATCAGATTATTACATCTTCATCTCCCCTTGGAGTGATCCGGCGGAAAACGACTAAACAGTCAGAAAACTAGTAGTAAAAGTGCTTTCAAAATGCACATAATACCTGCTATTTTCCGGGAAATTTTTCATGTAGATATCAGTATGACACTACCGGTAAGATCGTTCCTAATAAATGAATTCAAATCCAGAGCATGTATCTCGTGAAGAATAACACCATAAGGAAAAAAAAACTTTGATGAAATCTATTTTTAATGGACATTGAAAATGATAATGGTGTTGATTAGTGCTACTGATCATTAAGACAAAGTTATAGAACCAGCATGAACTATATGCTTTTTAAACTGATAGGTCATAGAAGACACGTATGACGTGTGACTGTGACTAGTTTATTTTAAAAATTGGTAATGCATTTCCTCTACTTTATCTTTACGGAAATATGTCACTGAGTACTAGTAATTGTAAAGATATATCTTCTGATATGCTATATCTTAGTAGAAAATTAGTTTAATCTATATTTATTAGTGAACGTGAAAATAAAAGATCTAGAAAAATTAGCAGAATGGATTTCGGAAGGAAATAAAGACAGAAACGATCTAGAAAAATTTAGTTTAATTTTTTATTCTGCAGAAAAGATCTTGGAAAAATAAATTTATCTATTTATGCAGAAAAGATCTCGGATTAATTAATTAATAGCAAAAGCTCTCACACCCGCGTATATTATATCTTCCAAACAGTGCAGTCTTTGGCAAAACGATTCTTCAATGCGAAACTTATATTGCATAGAAGGCAACTTGTCTGAGCACGTGTATGATGATTATGCACTTTCGACGAATAGACTTGATACCTATGTGAACTTTCTTTTGCTTTCAGTTGAAACTGACACAATGGGTACTTTTTGTATTCTGAACATTTATATGTAATCGATGTGCGGTGTTAAATGTTTCCTTTCGATAAATACAAACATGTTGATCTTTAATGAAATCCGTTAAATCACTTTTATTGTCGCATAAGAGCACTTCATTCCACGTACGACGTAACATTTTTAAGTTTACAGTTAGAATAAAGTTGAAAATGTTATGACTTCATAATACTGTACATGTTTCCTTCTAGACTATGCACATGTTTTCCTAGACTATTCTAGACTATTCATTATTCTGAGATCTTTTCTGCAGAATAAAAAATTAAACTAATTTTTCGTTAGAAAAGAATAGAAATATTTTATGTTTCTATGATTATGATCTGCAACAAAATTATTCATTCTTTTATATTTTAGTGTCGATGACAATCGAATTCAGTCATTCTCAATCATCAATAATTAATAGTCAAATTTTTGAAAGTATATTTTCTCAAAATTTAAATTTTGATGAAGGAAATATAAGTGAAATTGATTTTCTTTTTACTATTCAACCGTCAATACGAACAATGAATGATATAGTCTTCAATTTTTCTTCTCCAGCCAAACCACCGCTACCAATATCGAAAGCTGTGCCAGTGGGTAAGACAAGATTGAAAGAAAAAGTTATTCATACTTTTGGGTAAGCTAATTCGAAAGGACATAACTATCAAAGTCACACTTGATAGTTTAACTACCAGTGATAGAAAAATGAAGAATTTTTCCCATGTATATAGTGGTGTATTTTTTCTTACATATTTGTGTCTATTCGTAAAACTCGAAACATTAGAAATCTCAGATCAATGTGATAGCGCTTCTATTGAAGCTCTTCTCAAAAGTATAACTACGAAAAATTATTTTTCGTTGTACAATTTCAAATATTTTACAAAATATCTTCGGAAAAATTTCTGAAGCGGATGTTTCAGAGGATCTTTGGAAAACTAGTTTGAGCTTTCATAGGCATATATTGTTTTCTTCATAGACTGATAGCCCGGAGTGTTCTCTTCAAAATGGGAGTAAAGTGAGTCCTTGATTTTCTGCAGTTCGGGCGTTGTATCAGATTTCCGACGAGTCTCAGGACTGGCACCCGGTGACTCTTGGTAGTTTTAAAGACAGATGGATAATGGATAATCGACCATGCTGAGTCTTGTGGCAATATTTGAAGAAAGAATATGATTAATGTTGTCAGCTAAACGTGATTATAACATTGAAAAAATCGAAAGGTACGTTTTTCTTTATAGGTTTTCGAGAACCCCCTTTGCAAAACCTCAGGGTTTTTTAAAATTTATTTTGAGATCTTCTATAAACAGGATATAGAATAGCTTAAATACTCTACACTCCGAAGTTTTGAACTTGTTCTAGTATTTTTTGAGTGAATAGTGAATTTTTAATATTAGGTGTAAACAGCCTGAAAACCCTAATTTTCGTGAAACTGGCTTTTCGGTAGATTTTTGGAACTTTCTCAAAAAAAAAATATTGCCATAAGACTTAGCATGGTCGATTATCCATTATCCATCTGTCTTTAAGACTACCAAGAGTCATCGAGTGCCAGTCCTGAGACTCGTCGGAAATCCGATACAACGCCCAAACTGTAGAAAATCAAGGACTCACTTTACTCCCATTTTGAAGAGAACACCCCGGGCTATCAGTCTATGAAAAGAAAACAATATATGCCTATATGAATTTCGGAAAGCTCACAAGCTAGTTTTTCAAAGATCCTCTGAAACATCCGCTTCAGAAATTTTTCCGAAGCACCATTTTGCTTACAGAAATATGTGCTTCGGTGTCTCCTTTTCAATGCTGAAAATCGCAGGTTTCTGTCACACATCAAAAGTTATTCAAAAAATAGCTACTGGCCTTATGTTTTGGCGCCGATAATAGAAGAAAATAGAATCACTATGTGCAGACAAAAGAAGAAAATATCACCTTACAGTGAAGTCATCTGCAAAGGCTCCAGAGATCCAATATTTTAGAGATGAAAAGATTAGCTAAATTAGTGCTATAATATGGGGTCCTAGGTGGACAACAAGCGTTCAAATGTACTTCGACATCGTTTATCACATTTACAACGAATGACAACAACCGACTGATGTTATCAGCTTACTCTACTACTCTCCACTGAGGCATACCAAGAAGGGCGTGATTTGATCTAATATGATGTGCATATAACATTAATTTGATATTCGTTGAGATCCAGATGGACCTCCGATGTTCGTGTCAGAGTTAAATGGATTCGAGAGAGGAAAACTCAGTCCGAACCTCTCTGGATTTATTAGCAATGTTCCGGAACCTAAAATGGGCTGACGACTGACCCTCCCGCACTAAAAAAAGGTGTCTGGTGGTGACAAATCAATAAACCCAAGCTCACCAAAATTTATTTCGAAACTTAAAAACTCCAGGATATAGTTAGTTTTGTCTCTTAAACTGTAAGGGTTCTAATTCTTTTTGTAAATTTGTTATGAAGAGGATGTAGAATAGCACGAATGCCGTGTATCCTGAAGTTCTCAACTCCTTCCGATGCTTTTTAAGTGACTTATAAATTTTTTAATCTTAGGTAGAAACAACCTAAAAACTTCAAAATTTAAAAAACGCAGCTTTCATTAGGCTTTTGTTCATTAATTTTGTTTCATTAGTTTTCTTCACAAATAAAGCGTTGCCATCAGATTCAGCCTGATCGATTACATATGTCTCTTCCACTTTCAGGGTTAGCCAAAGCCACTGAGTGTCAATCCTGAAGTTCCCTGTAAATCCCATGCTACGTCTGCAATTACTAAAAATCATGGTCTCGCTTGACTCTCGTTTTGTCGACGACGATTTGAGCTATTTATTCATGAAAAAAACAATATATTGCTATCTTAACTTCAGTTATGAAACGGTTTTCTAGTAATCTACTAGAAAACCGATTTTTTGAGACATTTTTTCAAGTTCTTTTTGGATTATGAAAAAATAGTTTAAAGTCTTGACTATCAAATTGTGAAAACTGCAAGTTTTGATCATCTTTCGGTATTAGAGCTGGAACCGGTTCGGTTCGGCCAATCTGAGAGCGCAATCAGATCGGTCCGGTCGGTAAACTGGCCGATTGGAATCCTAACTTCAAACCTGTGAAAAAACCGGCGAAAATCGGTAAAATACTGGCGAAGTCTTTTTAGCAAATTGGTTTTCAGAAAGAATTTCCTCCAAAATGAAATAGTTTGCGAGCACATGTGAAAGACCCTTCACAATAACGAGTCTATAACATTTAACCTTAAAACAAGTGATGAAAATAATATCTGTCTTGAGCATAGTTTTTTGACAGAAAACAGGCTAAAAAGAGCAAATTTTTCAGAAGTTTCAGCCGGTGAAATACTGGTTGACTTTTTCAACGACCGGTTCAAAGGACCGGTCCGGTCCTGTTCGATATTGATTTATTCAAAAAATAGTCAGGACATTATATTTTGAAAATGATGGTACCTTGTTAAATGCATTGAAACATTTTATATATTTTTTAGCTCTTGTATTATCGAGTATTGTTGTGTTATGTATATGTGGTAATATTCTTGTTATATTAGCGGTATTTACATTTCGTCCACTTCGTACTGTACAAAATTTTTTCATCGTTTCGTTAGCATTTTCTGATATGTTAGTGGCTGTTCTTGTCATGCCATTTCATATCGTTACACATATTATTAAACGTTGGATATTTGGACAAATATTCTGTCAAATTTTTGCTGCATTAGATATTCTGCTATGTACTTCGTCCATTCTAAATCTATGTGCTATTGCGGTAAGTATAGTAATCGGATTTATGTTTTCTACTAATATGTATAATAAAATTTTTCAGCTTGATCGCTATTGGGCAATTAGTGATCCGATTAAATATGCTCGTCAACGTACAATTCGTCGAGTTTTAGCTATGATTGTTATCGTATGGATATTAAGTGCCACCATTTCGATTCCACCGGTAATTACAGCAATATTAGGTTCTAGTGAATTACAAAATTTTAATCAATGGCAATGTGAATTATCAAAACATAAATTATATGTTTTGTATTCGGCGTGTGGATCGTTTTATATTCCGGCTATTATTATGACGGCGATGTATGCTCAAGTATTTTTTAAAACTCGACAACGTTTTCGTGAACGAGCGCGAGCCGCAGCTAAATTGGCAAATGTAACAAAAACAATACATAAACCAGATTTATGGAATCCGAATACAACATCGGATCGTGAACAACCAACTGTCATATCACCATTATCAAAAAGATCGTCTACAAACGGTCATGAATTTAGTGATGATGTCGATGATTGTGCAGCAACAATGACCTTTCGCCATAATAAAGATGAATGCTTGAAAAAATTTACAAAAGATTATGAACATGAAATGAGAAAAGCTAAAAAACTCGATGATGTATATGAATCACAAAGTTCATCGTTATTAAGTATAAATCCATTTGTAGCTAATGAGTTGAATTTAAGTGATATAAGTTTCGACGGAAAAGTGAAGTCAAACGATATGATGAAAACGATACCTAAAATAGGTGAACTCATTTGTATAAACCAAGTGAACAACGAGCTCTACAGTAAATCCAGTAATATTGTTATCGATAAAAACGAAAAAGATCTATATATGCAGAAGTTTTTAACCTCAGAATCCTTGACTACCGCGGTACAACCATGTAATACGCAAGAAAATATGTCTAATCAATTGCGTAAAGTTAACTCAACTCCGGCGACAATCATCTCAATATCACAAGAATATCACTACCAATCGAATAATAACACGTCTAATCATGTGACTAATTTAGATGAAAATGGCTGTGTACCCTATCAACAACATGCAGCGAGTCAAACACAATTCAGTGCTTTATTGAATAAAAATCATATAAACAACAATTTGAATAGTATCGCTGCCACAACGACAACAACAAAAAAAGATACAGTAAATCGTAAATTATCGTTAACAAGTCATTTTTCAAAAGATAGTAAAAAACCTTTATTTAAAGGTAAAAGTTTAGCAACTCTAATGCATGAAAGGCAAAAAATATCATTAACACGTGAACGTCGTCTAAGCCGCACACTTGGCGTGATTATAAGTGTATTTCTGTTGTGTTGGCTTCCATTTTTTGTTGTTTATATCGTGTCGGCATTTGTTAATATAACTAAATATATTGATGAAAATGTTTTTTTACTTATTTTATGGCTTGGTTATATAAATTCAGCCGTCAATCCATTAATTTATACAATATTTAATATTGAATTTCGAACAGCTTTTAAACGTTTGTTATCTAGATCTAAGCATAAATCGTCTTTTTGATGTTAAAAATGACTATGTATTTTTACTTTTTTATTTTTTTTATAAGTTACAGTTCGCCAATCTAAATCTTAATAGTTCACATGGGGGATATCCTAAAAAATGATTGAAATAATTCTATGGTTTAATTTTTTGTTATTTATTTTTAAAAACTGTTCTATATTATTTGAAAGTGAAGATAAATGAAAAGTGATACAGAATCTGCAGTCAACATTCAGAAACATACCTCACTAAACCTCACGAAAAAAAACGTTTTCAGGATTTTGGATGTAAAAACAGAATTATTTTCCTTCAAAATAAAACAAATTCGACCTCAAAATGTTCGATCTAAACTCAGTTAGAAAAATTGTCTCAGGTGACCCAAAACTTCCACCTGAAATTATGATTTTTGGAAAGAAAAACAAAAGAAAACAAAACTCGCTTCCATCTGCTTTTGATGACAAGACATTTAAATTATTGTCAGTCAATACAGCTTTTCGAGTGCTACAAAATGGCTGTCTTCTCATCTCGTATATTGTAAAACGGAAGGAATTTGAAAAAACTGTGTTTTGGCCTGGGGAGCACTCGAAATTGCAGATTCACAGTATTTTCTCCATATTCTCTTATTTTTAACATATATAGAAAACTACGGAATATGGTTTTTTTGTAAAGAATTAAATGGCATATCTTCTAAAAGAAAATTAACTTGCATTATAATTTTCGACTGAGATATGTGCAAATAGGAAAATGAGCAATTGTTTTGGAACAGTCGGTATACAGTAATTCTATAATGTCCAATCTACTTAAAAACGTGTTTTGGACATGTTCTAGGATTTAACCGTGGATGACATTGTTTTTGTCCTTTTTACATAGCTAAATACTCTCAACAAACCAGTCATAACGTCATCAATATGTGGCAGTGGAAACCCTAGACATCGATTCTTATATAAGGATTTTACAAGGCACTCACAAGAAACATGAAGATGAAGGTAGTTACTTTTTGTATAAAACTGCGGTTCATAGAGGTTGGAAAAAAAGGTATCCGCCTACGTCGGCGGTTATTTTAGAAAGGGGCGATTCAACCACCCCCTTTTAAAACGTATCCGCGATTCTCGTCGGTCATATTTTTTCGAAAACTTTTGGTTAGAACCGCCTCTCAGGATGATTTGCTCTCCTAAAACTTGCTTTAAGCTAAGGGAGAACAAGAACAAGGTTACTGATTTGTTGAGAATCATTTTCTTTGACTCATTACTTTGACTTCACAGAAATTATAAAAGTTCAGAATTATATGTCAGCTGCACAAAACTTGTGTTCTTATATAACTAAGTGTCACAAAACAAATCGGTGAATGAGTTGTTGTCACCCAATCGCGTTGACCAGCGGTCAAGAAAAAAACCATCCGCCGATACCCGCCGTTTCTGAAGTTGTTCCAGTAGCAACCGCAGTGAACCGTATATGCTTTATGGACAACCGCAGACAACGGCAGTCATGACTGACGAGAACCACTTGTGCTAATTCTACAAAAAAATGAGGGAAAAATTGATAACCTTCGCCCTAGACATGGATTCTTATATAAGGATTTTACAAGGCACTTACAAGAAACATACAAAATACTTATCAGCTTTTTATAAGTTTCTGATAAGATTCTTATATAAGATGTTGCACGGAAGTGACAAGAAATTCACTGGTTCTGATAAGATTCTTATAAGAAACTTGTAAGATATTCATAAGAAAGTAACAAGTCACCTTGTCACTTTCTTATGAATATCTTATAAGAATCTTATCAGTTTCTTACCAATTTCGTATGAACGTCTTATAAAATTCTTATCTGATTCTGACAAAAAAAGTTTCGAAAAAAAAAGTTTTAGAAAAAATATGACCGACGAGAACCGCGGATACGTTTTAAAAGGGGGTGGTTGAATCGCCCTTTCTAAAATAACCGCCGACGTAGGCGGATATCTTTTTTTCCAACCTCTATGAACCGCAGTTTTATACAAAAAGTAACTACCTTCATCTGCGGGTAATCGAAAAGGGCGATTCTAGCCAATTTAGCACATACGTAGATCTCTGTGGTTTTCACCAAAATATAACCGTCATGAACCGCTGCTATACCGCAACGATGCAAAAATAATATTACAAACACACCCGCGGTTTTTATATGAGAGACCGGTTATTGTGTCACAAACCGTCAGTTTTGACCGGTTTTTCTGCTTGAAAATGAACCGGTGTGATCCGTATTTTTGACCGGTTTTTCCTATTGATTTTCGTGTACGGGAATTGTCCGGAATACTTCCTAGCGTTATCGTGTTCAAACATCTATGTCTACCTTCTGTCAAACATTCTCGATTATGGTTACCACATTCATTCACTTAACTTCTTCTCAGAGCTGTTTCTCAAAACACTCGAGCAAAATATTTTGTATTTCTATGTATGACAGTGGTTTACACTGTCGTCGTTTCGGATTGGATAACCCACATTATTCAGAAGACACAATTAATCACCCAAAATCATCTTTTTTTTGCTAGTGATCAGAAGCGACTAATAATGTTACTCAGCAGTAATGGAAACCAAATTAGCTATTTCGAAATAGCATTAAGTTCAAGTTAACTTTTCATCCAATGAACGTGGAAAAGTTCGCTTAACTTTTGTAGCATGAACAAGGCCTTTCAGATGCAGATATCTTTCGATCCTTTTAAAAAGAAAATCCATTAGACGAAGTTTGAAAACAAATTTTAAAGAAATCATGTCTTGTATGTCAGTTTACGCGGCTAAAATATGCCAGGCCCAAAACGCTAGTGCCAACGTAAAATCAAGTTGCTCTTAACGCTGTGCGTATCTGAACCATTTATGCTGATATAAATGTAGCTTATCGAGACTGTGTGCTAGTGTGAATAACGGTGCTATATGATTATATATACTATGGGCCGTAAAGTTGAAAGAACGAAGAAAGTTACAATGATCAAGTGATAGTTATGTGTAGCGTCTTTATAACACGCTGAACAAGTGGAATTCCTACTGTAATCAACCGTGATAAACTAATGCAATTTTCACTAGAACTTTAGAATCGCTGTGTGTTTCAAACCGTAAATATGGTTGGTTGTGAAGTGAATTATGACTGAATTGCAAATTCTAACTGTAAAGCTTTTACTGTGTAACAAAATTTTTTATTAAAACCACGGGTTTTGCATAGCAACAACAGAAGTTTAACATCGCCTATCAAAACGTGCAATATGCAAATCATATCATTCGAAAGGTGTTAAATCAAAGATTTTCCAACTCTCTTTTCAATTTTTAGAGAATATATTTGGTTGTTAAGAACAAAGTCGGTGTAATGACCACGAAACGTATTGCAGCATTTAGTGACTTTTTCTATGGTACACACTGATAGGCTTTAGTTTAATCGAAATAGCTGTTGACAGACCAAGAGTGGAGCAGTGTCTTTCAAAAACATGATTTTGAAATTATTATAAAGCGGGCCGCGGTGAGTGAGTCAGATAATGTAAGTATACCGATTAAGATGTGTCAATGTGCAATGCATTTTGAGTCAAATATTGTTGAGAAAATTGCTTATGAAAAACAGTATTTTAGACAAACACTATCAATAGCCTTTTGCTGTCAGTTGCGAATCTGGCAATTGACCTAGGCTAGTTTTGTGTAATACAATACGAATGCAATAAGATATCAACCAAAAAACGAAATATTATGTATTACGAAAACTACAGTTAGACAACATTAAATAAAAAACTATATCGAAAAAAGCCTAAATCATAATAGTATAAAAAAATATATAAAAATAGAGAAACACACAGACACAAGAAACGTTTCGTTGATTGTTTAGTAACAATTAACTGATCAGCAGTCAGCCTAAAACGAGGGAAAAAAGCATAATTGACGTTTCTACAGTAACGTTCAGCGCAGGCGATAAACACTTTTTCAAGTGGCGAGCAGAATACGAAAAACGATATTTTTACTCAGAATAGTAGGTTTTTTGAAAACGCTCGTACATTACGGTTGCATTGAGCTTTAATCGGATCGGATCAAAAATTTTACTTTAGCTTTGTAGGAATCTATCTCAGAAATTAATTTTGGAGATCGTTCCTACATGAGTTATAGCAGTATAGTAGTTGCTACAGCAATCTATAAAACCGAGGTTCTTGATCTTAGAAACCGTATGACACCATCAAAAATGTTTAAAAGATAAATCTCTTAGTTCTGCTTTCAGCTAGTGTCAGTAAAATATTCAGCTCGATCCGATTAAACTTTGATGAAGTCATAATATAGTACACCTTAACTGGAAGTATTAGCACTTTGAGCATGACAGGTAGCATTTGACAGGCTACTTTTTCAAGGTAATTGCGACGATTCTTATATCTGCGTAGAAAAATTCTTGGAAAATTTTGTGAGATGTTTTATTTTGAAAAGGATATTTTGTGCTAACAGACTATGTAGCAGAAAAAAGTCGGAAGACACTGGAACAGAAAGAAAATTTGGGGCTTGTCTCTCTTTCGGTGGATAGAGATAGTATAAAATTGCTGATTTCTTTCTTTTTTAAATAAATAGCTTATATCAAACTGAAAGCTTCTTTTAGCAACTTAAAAAGCTTGTAGCTTTACTCTCGTTCCTCATACATTTTCGACAAAATTCCTCAGAATACTGAAAACTGAATAACCGCTAAGCTTTTGAACAACAATCAAGATTGCATTCTCCACCTTTTCTACTACTGCGCGCTATTTATTTTAATAGTAAAACGACATGCAAGTATCGAGATTAGTGGATTTTGTAGAATGAGAAATTCGCTATCTAATGAGTTTAGAATGGAAATTTGAAATTGGTTGCGATTATCCCAATTGAGATACAAAAGTGAGACATTTAATATATACTACTCGTTACTCAGTTATTTTTTTCTATGTTTTATCGCTGCGTCCATCATCTGAATCCGTGGAAAACGGAGATTCAACGCTTCCTAGAAACAAACAAGAATTTTTTGTTGTACCATTTATAAAGATATGTTTTCAAACTTACTAATAAGTCCCGAAAACTCAATTGATCCTTGACTTGCTTGTGATGATAATTGAAAATCGAATGAATCATGATGAGGATTTGCTGTTGTTGTTTTATTATTGATCATCCAATTTCCAAAAGCAGTATTATCAAAGACAAATGGTGCACTGACATGAGAAGAGGTTGAATGATGTCCTTGAGGTGCTATGGAATGTGACACCAACATGGCTTGTATATCGTTGCTTGTTACACTTGGTAGAATAGACGTTGACGACAATGTTAGTGGTCGATGATGAACTTGTGCAACGGATCGTTCACTATTTATTGTTGTATTTGAAGCAATTGGTAGCTTGTCTGGAATGAGACCGGTATGTTGTTGATTTCTAGATGATGGTATTTCCTTCTCCTGAAAAGTCGATAAAAGAAATGCCAGCCGGAAAATCAGTGTCAGACAGTAGTAAAATGATTAAAAATTTATTATCGAGTGAACAGTCAGCGAAACAAAGGAAAACAACAACAACTAGTAATGAAATGATTAAAACAAATTCAGCTGATTTTTTCCTCAATCGTCAACAAACAACACAAATCATAAAACCATCACTACCATCATTCATCTACCAGTCACCAGTCAATATAAACTCAGCATTACCGATGATTAACGAAACAACGGAATATGTTGAGTCTTTAACTACATCCCCGCGATATTCATTACAAAGACCAATTCCATCGCCATTTTCCCAGTTTTTTCAAATGGAAACAATAGCCTCACCTTTATCCTCATCCGTTTATCCAAACGTGAAAGCGAACGAAATACCATCATCTAGAAATCAACAACATACCGGTCTCATTCCAGACAAGCTACCAATTGCTTCAAATACAACAATAAATAGTGAACGATCCGTTGCACAAGTTCATCATCGACCACTAACATTGTCGTCAACGTCTATTCTACCAAGTGTAACAAGCAACGATATACAAGCCATGTTGGTGTCACATTCCATAGCACCTCAAGGACATCATTCAACCTCTTCTCATGTCAGTGCACCATTTGTCTTTGATAATACTGCTTTTGGAAATTGGATGATCAATAATAAAACAACAACAGCAAATCCTCATCATGATTCATTCGATTTTCAATTATCATCACAAGCAAGTCAAGGATCAATTGAGTTTTCGGGACTTATTAGTAAGTTTGAAAACATATCTTTATAAATGGTACAACAAAAAATTCTTGTTTGTTTCTAGGAAGCGTTGAATCTCCGTTTTCCACGGATTCAGATGATGGACGCAGCGATAAAACATAGAAAAAAATAACTGAGTAACGAGTAGTATATATTAAATGTCTCACTTTTGTATCTCAATTGGGATAATCGCAACCAATTTCAAATTTCCATTCTAAACTCATTAGATAGCGAATTTCTCATTCTACAAAATCCACTAATCTCGATACTTGCATGTCGTTTTACTATTAAAATAAATAGCGCGCAGTAGTAGAAAAGGTGGAGAATGCAATCTTGATTGTTGTTCAAAAGCTTAGCGGTTATTCAGTTTTCAGTATTCTGAGGAATTTTGTCGAAAATGTATGAGGAACGAGAGTAAAGCTACAAGCTTTTTAAGTTGCTAAAAGAAGCTTTCAGTTTGATATAAGCTATTTATTTAAAAAAGAAAGAAATCAGCAATTTTATACTATCTCTATCCACCGAAAGAGAGACAAGCCCCAAATTTTCTTTCTGTTCCAGTGTCTTCCGACTTTTTTCTGCTACATAGTCTGTTAGCACAAAATATCCTTTTCAAAATAAAACATCTCACAAAATTTTCCAAGAATTTTTCTACGCAGATATAAGAATCGTCGCAATTACCTTGAAAAAGTAGCCTGTCAAATGCTACCTGTCATGCTCAAAGTGCTAATACTTCCAGTTAAGGTGTACTATATTATGACTTCATCAAAGTTTAATCGGATCGAGCTGAATATTTTACTGACACTAGCTGAAAGCAGAACTAAGAGATTTATCTTTTAAACATTTTTGATGGTGTCATACGGTTTCTAAGATCAAGAACCTCGGTTTTATAGATTGCTGTAGCAACTACTATACTGCTATAACTCATGTAGGAACGATCTCCAAAATTAATTTCTGAGATAGATTCCTACAAAGCTAAAGTAAAATTTTTGATCCGATCCGATTAAAGCTCAATGCAACCGTAATGTACGAGCGTTTTCAAAAAACCTACTATTCTGAGTAAAAATATCGTTTTTCGTATTCTGCTCGCCACTTGAAAAAGTGTTTATCGCCTGCGCTGAACGTTACTGTAGAAACGTCAATTATGCTTTTTTCCCTCGTTTTAGGCTGACTGCTGATCAGTTAATTGTTACTAAACAATCAACGAAACGTTTCTTGTGTCTGTGTGTTTCTCTATTTTTATATATTTTTTTATACTATTATGATTTAGGCTTTTTTCGATATAGTTTTTTATTTAATGTTGTCTAACTGTAGTTTTCGTAATACATAATATTTCGTTTTTTGGTTGATATCTTATTGCATTCGTATTGTATTACACAAAACTAGCCTAGGTCAATTGCCAGATTCGCAACTGACAGCAAAAGGCTATTGATAGTGTTTGTCTAAAATACTGTTTTTCATAAGCAATTTTCTCAACAATATTTGACTCAAAATGCATTGCACATTGACACATCTTAATCGGTATACTTACATTATCTGACTCACTCACCGCGGCCCGCTTTATAATAATTTCAAAATCATGTTTTTGAAAGACACTGCTCCACTCTTGGTCTGTCAACAGCTATTTCGATTAAACTAAAGCCTATCAGTGTGTACCATAGAAAAAGTCACTAAATGCTGCAATACGTTTCGTGGTCATTACACCGACTTTGTTCTTAACAACCAAATATATTCTCTAAAAATTGAAAAGAGAGTTGGAAAATCTTTGATTTAACACCTTTCGAATGATATGATTTGCATATTGCACGTTTTGATAGGCGATGTTAAACTTCTGTTGTTGCTATGCAAAACCCGTGGTTTTAATAAAAAATTTTGTTACACAGTAAAAGCTTTACAGTTAGAATTTGCAATTCAGTCATAATTCACTTCACAACCAACCATATTTACGGTTTGAAACACACAGCGATTCTAAAGTTCTAGTGAAAATTGCATTAGTTTATCACGGTTGATTACAGTAGGAATTCCACTTGTTCAGCGTGTTATAAAGACGCTACACATAACTATCACTTGATCATTGTAACTTTCTTCGTTCTTTCAACTTTACGGCCCATAGTATATATAATCATATAGCACCGTTATTCACACTAGCACACAGTCTCGATAAGCTACATTTATATCAGCATAAATGGTTCAGATACGCACAGCGTTAAGAGCAACTTGATTTTACGTTGGCACTAGCGTTTTGGGCCTGGCATATTTTAGCCGCGTAAACTGACATACAAGACATGATTTCTTTAAAATTTGTTTTCAAACTTCGTCTAATGGATTTTCTTTTTAAAAGGATCGAAAGATATCTGCATCTGAAAGGCCTTGTTCATGCTACAAAAGTTAAGCGAACTTTTCCACGTTCATTGGATGAAAAGTTAACTTGAACTTAATGCTATTTCGAAATAGCTAATTTGGTTTCCATTACTGCTGAGTAACATTATTAGTCGCTTCTGATCACTAGCAAAAAAAAGATGATTTTGGGTGATTAATTGTGTCTTCTGAATAATGTGGGTTATCCAATCCGAAACGACGACAGTGTAAACCACTGTCATACATAGAAATACAAAATATTTTGCTCGAGTGTTTTGAGAAACAGCTCTGAGAAGAAGTTAAGTGAATGAATGTGGTAACCATAATCGAGAATGTTTGACAGAAGGTAGACATAGATGTTTGAACACGATAACGCTAGGAAGTATTCCGGACAATTCCCGTACACGAAAATCAATAGGAAAAACCGGTCAAAAATACGGATCACACCGGTTCATTTTCAAGCAGAAAAACCGGTCAAAACTGACGGTTTGTGACACAATAACCGGTCTCTCATATAAAAACCGCGGGTGTGTTTGTAATATTATTTTTGCATCGTTGCGGTATAGCAGCGGTTCATGACGGTTATATTTTGGTGAAAACCACAGAGATCTACGTATGTGCTAAATTGGCTAGAATCGCCCTTTTCGATTACCCGCAGATGAAGGTAGTTACTTTTTGTATAAAACTGCGGTTCATAGAGGTTGGAAAAAAAGATATCCGCCTACGTCGGCGGTTATTTTAGAAAGGGCGATTCAACCACCCCCTTTTAAAACGTATCCGCGGTTCTCGTCGGTCATATTTTTTCTAAAACTTTTTTTTTCGAAACTTTTTTTGTCAGAATCAGATAAGAATTTTATAAGACGTTCATACGAAATTGGTAAGAAACTGATAAGATTCTTATAAGATATTCATAAGAAAGTGACAAGGTGACTTGTTACTTTCTTATGAATATCTTACAAGTTTCTTATAAGAATCTTATCAGAACCAGTGAATTTCTTGTCACTTCCGTGCAACATCTTATATAAGAATCTTATCAGAAACTTATAAAAAGCTGATAAGTATTTTGTATGTTTCTTGTAAGTGCCTTGTAAAATCCTTATATAAGAATCCATGTCTAGGGCGAAGGTTATCAATTTTTCCCTCATTTTTTTGTAGAATTAGCACAAGTGGTTCTCGTCAGTCATGACTGCCGTTGTCTGCGGTTGTCCATAAAGCATATACGGTTCACTGCGGTTGCTACTGGAACAACTTCAGAAACGGCGGGTATCGGCGGATGGTTTTTTTCTTGACCGCTGGTCAACGCGATTGGGTGACAACAACTCATTCACCGATTTGTTTTGTGACACTTAGTTATATAAGAACACAAGTTTTGTGCAGCTGACATATAATTCTGAACTTTTATAATTTCTGTGAAGTCAAAGTAATGAGTCAAAGAAAATGATTCTCAACAAATCAGTAACCTTGTTCTTGTTCTCCCTTAGCTTAAAGCAAGTTTTAGGAGAGCAAATCATCCTGAGAGGCGGTTCTAACCAAAAGTTTTCGAAAAAATATGACCGACGAGAATCGCGGATACGTTTTAAAAGGGGGTGGTTGAATCGCCCCTTTCTAAAATAACCGCCGACGTAGGCGGATACCTTTTTTTCCAACCTCTATGAACCGCAGTTTTATACAAAAAGTAACTACCTTCATCTTCATGTTTCTTGTGAGTGCCTTGTAAAATCCTTATATAAGAATCGATGTCTAGGGTTTCCACTGCCACATATTGATGACGTTATGACTGGTTTGTTGAGAGTATTTAGCTATGTAAAAAGGACAAAAACAATGTCATCCACGGTTAAATCCTAGAACATGTCCAAAACACGTTTTTAAGTAGATTGGACATTATAGAATTACTGTATACCGACTGTTCCAAAACAATTGCTCATTTTCCTATTTGCACATATCTCAGTCGAAAATTATAATGCAAGTTAATTTTCTTTTAGAAGATATGCCATTTAATTCTTTACAAAAAAACCATATTCCGTAGTTTTCTATATATGTTAAAAATAAGAGAATATGGAGAAAATACTGTGAATCTGCAATTTCGAGTGCTCCCCAGGCCAAAACACAGTTTTTTCAAATTCCTTCCGTTTTACAATATACGAGATGAGAAGACAGCCATTTTGTAGCACTCGAAAAGCTGTATTGACTGACAATAATTTAAATGTCTTGTCATCAAAAGCAGATGGAAGCGAGTTTTGTTTTCTTTTGTTTTTCTTTCCAAAAATCATAATTTCAGGTGGAAGTTTTGGGTCACCTGAGACAATTTTTCTAACTGAGTTTAGATCGAACATTTTGAGGTCGAATTTGTTTTATTTTGAAGGAAAATAATTCTGTTTTTACATCCAAAATCCTGAAAACGTTTTTTTTCGTGAGGTTTAGTGAGGTATGTTTCTGAATGTTGACTGCAGATTCTGTATCACTTTTCATTTATCTTCACTTTCAAATAATATAGAACAGTTTTTAAAAATAAATAACAAAAAATTAAACCATAGAATTATTTCAATCATTTTTTAGGATATCCCCCATGTGAACTATTAAGATTTAGATTGGCGAACTGTAACTTATAAAAAAAATAAAAAAGTAAAAATACATAGTCATTTTTAACATCAAAAAGACGATTTATGCTTAGATCTAGATAACAAACGTTTAAAAGCTGTTCGAAATTCAATATTAAATATTGTATAAATTAATGGATTGACGGCTGAATTTATATAACCAAGCCATAA